ACACCTGGCTACTTCTTAAAGAATCATAGAAAACAAGGGTTAGAAGGGACCTCAGGAGGTCATGTAGTCCAACCCCTGCTCAAAGCAGCACCATCCCAGCCAGGGCTTTGTTGAGCTGGGCCTTAAAAACCTCCAAGGATGGAGATTCCACCACCTCTCTAGGTAACTTGTTCCAGTGCTTCACCACCCTCCTAGTGGAAAAGTTTTTCCCAACATACAACTGGAGACTGTTGCTCCTTGTTCTGTCATCTGTTACCACTGAGAACAGTCTAGCTCCATCCTCTTTGGATCCCCCCTTCAGGTAGTTAAAGTCTGCTCTCAATTCCCCCCTCCCTCTTTGGATGAGGCTGGACAGTGAAGCTAGAGGAAGTGGAGGGATGTCCTCACTAAGTCTCCACAGCTATTTCACAGTGGATGGTCAGAGACAGAGGCACCACAGACCTGGGAATTGGACAGCAGTGCTTCTCTCTCTCTCTCTCTGACCTGCCACTGAAGAGTGATTGTCTGGGGCTCACACCCACAGCCATGGGATCTCATATCCCCAGCCCCAAGCAGGCATGCTCCAGGGCTCTGGAACACCTCCAAACCTACCTCTTCCCAGCTAAGGACCCCCCTGCCAAAGGTGAAGGTCACTGGGAGAAAAAAGCTCTGGCCTCGGTAGCAAGAGAAGTGTCTCTCAGCCTCTGAATCACAGCTCCCTAGAGGCTGCCAATGGAAGAGGGACAGTTGGGAGGGGGGCCTGCTCATGCCCAGCTCACTCTCCCTTCCAGCCTCCCTGTACAGTGGGCTTGGGGACACAGAGAGAGCTTGGCGAAGAGGAACTGCAGCAAGCAGCAGTGTGGCTGTCTGGGACGGTTTGCAGAGTTTGAAAGAGGATGGAGCTCGACTGTTCTTAGTGGTGAGAGATGACAGAATAAGGAGCAACTGCCTCAAGCTGCAGCAAGGGAAGTTTAAATTAGATATTAGGAAGAATTTTCTCACCAGGACGGTAGTAAAACACTGGACCAGATTACCCAGAGAGGTGATGGACTCTCCATCCTTGGAAGTTTTTAAGACCCCCTCTCAAAGCTTTAGCTTTAGGTGGGGCTGGTCCTGCTTGGAGCAGGGGTGTCACAGAAGATGATCTCCTGAGTTCCCTTCCAACCCTCATTTCCTATGAGCCCATTCAGTGCAAGCAACTCTTGCTTTGCCTTGCTTAACACTTTATCAGACTGTCAAAGGAGGTATTTTCTGTTATTTATACTGGGTTTTTTGTTCCTTCTCATTCTGTGGGAGTGCAGAAAATGCAACAAATCGTAGATTTAAGATAAAATATGGTATAATGGGCTGATCTAGTTGGGGCGGGTCCTGCTTTGAGCAGAGGTGTTGAATGGGAAGATCTCCTGAGGTCCCTTCCAACCCTCATTTCCTTTCACCCCATTCAGTGCAAGCAACTCTTGCTTGCCTTGCTTAACACTTTATCAGATCGTCGAAGGAAGCATTTTCTGTCACTTGTACCTTTTTTCCCTTTCCAATTTTGACTTTTTTTCCCCTTCTAATTTTGTCAGTGTGTGGAAAATGCATTAATGTGTAGATTTAAACATAAGATATGACATAATGGGTTGATCTAACTGGTCCTACTTTGAGCAGAGGTATCAGAGGAGCCGATCTCCTGAGGTCCGTTCCAACCCTCATTTCCTATGAGCCCATTCAGTGCAAGCAACTCTTGCTTTGCATTGCTTATTTATCAGCCAGTAGAAGGAGGCAGTTTCTGTCATTCATACCGGGTTTGTTTGTTTTTTCCCCCCTTTCTAATTGTGTGGCACATGCAACAAATGGTAGAAGATTTAAGACAGCACATAAGATCCGAGAGATCCCTTGCAGCCCCGCTTCGCTAGGACTCCCTCCTCCATCAAGGGCAGAGCAGGGGGGTGTGGATCTTCTCCCTCCCTCCCAGGAGAGGGGAGACAAGGGGCCCCTCACCTTTGATGTACACGTCGTCGTCCGCCCGCATGAACCACTCGTACTTGTCCAGGTAGCGGTCGTGCATGTACTTGAGCATCATGAAGGACTTCTTCTGCGGCGGGTAGGAATCGTCCACGCCGGGCAGGGCCACGACGGGCAGGCGCGGGGGCGCGGCCGAGCCCTGACTGGAGAAGAACTCCACGCGGCCCGGGATGGAGCGCGCCCAGGTGCGCTGCGCCGCCACGGCCCGGCCCGCCAGGTACTTCTGCGCCGTCATCACCCCCACGTAGAGGAAGCCGCGGGGCTGCGAGCACCCCGCCGGGCCGGCCCCA